AAAAAAAAAAAAAAAAGCAACATATAACTGTTAGGAATTAAAGAGCATAAAACATTACAGATGTAGCAAGTATTCAAATTATAATAAGAGTATGTTATGAATAATTTTAACTATATAATTTAAACCTTAAATCAAATGACTAAATTCCTGAAAAATATTTACTTACCATAACGGATAATCTAGATGGTCCATGACCATTATAAAAGGAACCAAAACAATAGCTTTAAAAATTTTCACAAAGTCAGCCTGGGCAAATATCTAAGACACCGTCTTTATAAAAAATAGAAAAATTAGCTGGGCATGGTGGTGAGCACCCATACTACCAGCTACTCTGAAGGCTGAGTTGAGATGAGGATAGCTGGAGGCCAGAAATTTGAGATTGAAGACAGGTATGATGACATTGCTGCACTCCAGCCTAGACAGAGACTCTGTCTCAAAAAAGAAAGAAAGAAAGAAACAAACAAACAAACAAAACACTTTTCCACAAAGAACTCCAGACCCAAAAGGTTTCTTGAGGTACTGCTCACTTTTAAAAGGAAGAAATTGTTCCATTCTTACGCAGAATATTGCAGAGTTTAGAAAAGAAATGAAAGAATATTCCCCACCCCATTTTATGAGGCTGACATTCATATGCAATAGAAAAGGAAAATTTAGCTCAAATAGATCCCAAAACACCAAAACAAAATACTAGCAAACCGATGCCCAAAATGACAAAACAGTACATGTCCTTTCCACGTTAAGTTATTCACCACTATGAACTTCATATAACATTAGAAAATCAACTGCTTTAATTCACCACACTATGAGATAAAGCAGTGATTTTCAACCAGTGTGCTGCAGCATGCACCATGAGAGAATCTTAGATATGCCACAAAAATTTCAAAAGATCATTAATAAAATTATCTTCTAAAGAAGTTTAAAGCAAGCACAGTAAGTATATTCTTTATTTTACTCTCTCTTGATCAATGTAATGTAAGTGTGCCATGGAAATTTAACTATAAGTTCAAGTGTGCCATGAGATTTTAAAAAAAAAGGTTGAAAAGCATATTATCACTCAATTATTCAATTCACAAGCAGTTCTGAGTGCTTGAAATACAGCAGTAAACTGATACAGTAAACATCCACTGATACAGTGGATGATGAAAAAAAAAAAAATCACTTGTTAGAAGCCTGCCAAGATGCACAAGAAAAACTCTTCCTTGGCTCAACAAAAACTATTTTCCACAATTCACAAGAAATATTCTTAAACTAGGGAAAAAAGAGAGCTTTCTTGGCCTAATAAAAACTATCTTAGAGAGAAAGGCTTCCAGCAAACATGAAAGGTAATTTCCTTTAAGATCAAAAAGAAAAAAGGCCAGGCTAAAGTTTGCTATCCAAACTCCAGTCAGTGATACTGGCAGTCCCCAGCTGGTCTACCAAAGAAAGAAAATAACAGAAGTGTATGAGTCAAAAGTAAAGATTTGCTTATTTTGGCTCAGCTCCTGTGGCTCAAGCAGCTAAGGCACCAGCTACATACACCTAAGGTGGCGGGTTCGAATCCAACCCAGGTCCGCCAAACAATGATGGCTGCAACCAAAAAAAAAAAAAAAGACAGGCGTTGGGGTGGGCGCCTGTGGTCCCAGCCACTTGGGAGGCTGAGGCAGAAGATTCGCTTGAGCCCAGGAGTTGGAAGTTACGGTGAGCTGTGATGCCACAGCACTCTACCCAGGGAACTAGCTTGAGGCTCTGTCTCAAAAAAAAAAAAAAAAGATTTGCTTATTTTATACAGATGATAAAATTGAATAGGAAGACCATACAAAATAAACTACACAAAAATTAAGAGAATTAAAAATGGATAGACAGTAGCAAGCTCAAAGAACTTTGTCAATAAACAGAAAACATGTAACTTCTGAGTAGCAAAAAAAAAAAAAAAAAAAGTTCCTAGGAACAAATGTAACTAAACAACCTAAATCCTCTTTGCAAATACTTAAGCAATACTTGCACCAATATGGAAAAAAGAATGTCTTTGAAAATACTGAAGTATGTGTGTTCATTCACAATACCAAAATTAGGAAATATATTTTTAGGAAAACACATGTAAGCAGTAAAAACCATAAAGAAAATCGTGGGAAGCAAGGATGTAGTCTAGAAGGAACACACAGCTTCCTGAGGTTAAATAATCTCTTTCTTGTCCTGGTTTGTATATTCATTAATTGTCTTTTTTTTTTTTTTTTTTCAGTTTTTGGCCGGGGCTGGGTTTGAACCTGCCACCTCTGGCATATGGGGCTGGTGACTCACTCCTTTGAGCCACAGGCACTGCCCCATTAATTGTCCTTTTATGAGTTGTGCATATGTGTGCCCATGTGTGAGATCTTCTTTTTTTGGCACATGTGTCCTACTTTCCAACGTTAAAATATTTGAAAGGAAAAGAACAGAAGGCATAAAATAAGACGGTAAAATTCAAAGCAAAATATTAGTAATCACAATAACCATTAGTGGACTAACTCTTAATTTATGGAGTGCTGAATTGAATTTTAAATCTATTAACAAACTATTCACACAAGAGTCAACTAAAATAAATAAGATAAAAAGAAATACAATGGGCTCAGTGCCCATAGCACAGTGGTTACAGTGCCAGCCACATACACCAGGGTTGGTGAGTTCAAGCCAGGCTGGGTCAGCTAAAACAATGACAACTGCAACAAAAAATTGCCAGGTGTTGTCGCAGGCGCACCTTGAAGCCCTAGCTACTTAGGAGTCTGAGGCAAGTGCCAGGGCACTCTACCAAGGGCAACATAATGAGACTCTGTCTCGAAAAAAAAAAAAAAAAGAAAAGAAAAAAGAGAAAGAAAGAAAGAAAATGGACGGAAGGACAGTTTTAGTTAAAAGCATAAAAGGTATTCAAGGAGGAAGCATGGAGAATCCTCAAAGAACTCAAACTAGATCTCCCATTTGATCCTGCAATTCCATTACTGGGCATCTACTCAGAAGAAAAAAAAAATTATCATAAGGACATTTGCACCAGACTGTTTATCACTGCTCAATTTACAACTGCCAAACTATGGAAACAACCTAAATGCCCATCAATCCAGGAATGGATTAACAAGCTGTGGTACATGTGTATCATGGAATACTATTCAGCCACTAAAAATGATGGAGACTTTATAACTTTTGTATTAACCTAGACGGAGTTGAAACACATTCTTCTTAGTAAAGCACCACAAGAATGAAGAAGCAAGAATCCAATGTATTCTGATAGTACAATTGATGACCTAGTATATGGGGGAGGTATGCGGGAGGTATAGCGGAGGGGTGGGGGCTCACGGTGTGTGACACACCTCTTGGAAGCGGGACATAATTATAAGAGGTACTTTACCTAACAAATGCAAAATTAAATAAATTATTTAGAAAAAAATCAATCTTTAAGAAGGTATTCAAGGCAAATGCTGACAAAAAGGAAACAAGTGTTCCTATGCTAATATTAAGACAAAATTGCTACAGAGCAGAAGGAAGATGGTTTATCTTGGCTGATTTCCAATTCCTGCCGACACGCCCCCTTCTCAACCTCCCGAGCTCTCTTCAGCTGCGCTTTTCCGCCCCCACCCCAAGGACTCAGTGGATTTATCTGACCAGGTTACTAAGGCCTCGCACATCACTAAACGCCTTGCTCGAATGTCACTCCTCATGTCACCGGTGTTTCAAATCTCTGATCGCGGGGCCTAAAACGCGCTCCTCGCCTGGCTGCCTGGCTTGTTGGTCCCCGAGCCTCGTAACCCCTTATTCTTCCAGGATCAGGATTGTGGGGCTTCCCGTGACCCCAGGAAGGCCCCAGGGAAAGGGTTAGTAAGGAAATTGGGGCTTACAAGATTTGGAAGGTAGACTCGCGAGAGCGGAGATCAAGAAGGGTGCCACCCGAGGGATGAGAAGCTTATACCGAGGTTCCGTCTGCAGCGGGGAGGCGGAAGATCCCCAATAGCTCCAAAAGTGACGCCGCGGACCCCTTCTCCACCCATGTGTCTAGCTACGGTGAACTACCGTGAGCAATGGCTTCCGCTTCCCTTCCGCCTTTCAAACGTCACGGGACTTCACCGCCGTCTCTAACGAAGAAGCGGGGGCGAAGAGGATTCTGGGAAATGCAGTTCCTAGGCTTTCCCTGACGTGGCGGCTGCGAGCAGGTGGCTACCAGCTCTCTGGCACATTCACTAAATTTTAATTGTTCCAGTGCCCTAGGACTAGGTCTGCAGCCTTTTCTTTTTATAATCATTCAGTTTGTGTGGACCCAATCTCTAGCCACACCCATACCTTTATCCTGAATTCCAGACCCTTGGAGACATTCTCCACTTGGGTTTTTTATACTTCTGTTAAAATGTCCCAAACCAAGCTCCTAACTCCACCGTCTCAACCTCAAACAATAGCCAGCCACGGCTGGCGTCATAAGTCAGCCCTGTAACCAACTACTCTGGAAGGCCGAAGTGAGAGGATCCCTTGAAGTCAAGAGTTCCAGGCCAGCCTGAGTAAGAGCAACACCTCCTCTGTATACTAAAAATAGAAAAATTAGCCCAGCTACTTGGGAGGCTGAGACAGGAGGATTGCTGGAATCCAGGACTTTGAGGTCGCTGTGAGCTAGGCTGACGCCAAGGCACTCTAGCCTGGGGCAACAGAGTGAGGCTCAGTCTCAAAAAAGAAAGAAAGAAAGAAATGTAGTCATTTTCCCTCCTGTTCCCAAGTATAAATCTTGGCAACATCCTTGACCTTTTCTGTTTGTCCCTCCCATATCCATAGACACTTTCAGAGACTGTTGCCAGTTCTACCTTGAACATAAACCCATTTTCCCTGCTTAAGATGTTCCTAGAGAGAGACCTGGGTGAAAGGAGAAATTAAAAGCTGTGAGTATGCAGTTGAGACCATGCATAGAATGTTAGTATTCATAGGATGGCAGCTTCCTAGGACCTCAGGAGCTGATCCTTCCCTGAATTACCAAGGAATTGCTCAGCCTCCTGTAACAGAGTCTAAGCTTGTACCAGGGACCCTCTGACAGCCAGTAAATGTAAAGAAGAGGTGACAGTGTGTTGGGGCAAAGAAGGTGACTTTTATTCAGAGATCCAGCAAACCGAGAAGATGGCAAAATAATGTGCTAAAGAACCATGTTTGGTATGAGCTTTAGACTCCTTTTTATGTTAAGGGAAGGGGATTGAGTGCCTATGTGTTTGTGTGTAAGGGGAGGAGGGGGTTGCAAGAGGTAACTGAGGACTGCAGACATCTGGGAGTCAACAAGGTTCTCAGAAGGTCATAAATCTTCTTTGTGGTTGGTTAGTTAAATTGGAATGACTATAACTCAGATCACACATATTCCTAAACATCTCTAATACAACATTGTTACTTGTGTACATACTTTCCTTAACCCCTGCACCAGAGGTTAGTTTTGGAAAAGGGAGAGTTGTCAACTTTCCTCTAGCATTGAACTACAAGATAAATTCTTCCTATATATAATGGCCCACATCCATAGCTAAGCAGAAGCTTTTCTTTCTTTTTTTTTTTTTTTTTTTTTTTTTTTTGAGAGACAGAGTCTCACTTTATTGCCCTTGGTAGAATGCCGTGGCATCAAAGCACACAGCAACCTCAAGCTGTTCTCTTGCCTTGGCCTCCCAAG